TTCTCACTCAATCACGATTAGTGTAGTCTCAGGTAGAACCAATGTTTGCAAGTCCTGCGTCCACCTACACTGTTGTCTACCAAATCCTTGGAACCTCTAACTTGGTCACCCAGGAAGCTAGCTGGTCTTATTCAGACTCCTCCCTCTCTATCTCCTCTATGCCTGTGGGGTGACTAAGGAGTCGGTAACCTTGGCCGTTGTTGAGATGGTAAGGGATTCCACCACCTCAACAAGAGCAAAAGCGACTACTACTTCTACAGGCTGGATGTGCTTCCCAAGGAAGTGCTCGCAGTGCTTCCCTGGGTTGAGGGTGCTTCACCCCTCTTCAGGCTGCATCCCCGTGGTGACCAATTGGACTGGACCCCTCGCCTTGGTTTGGCCATTCATGCCATACACTTTGCTGGTGCCCCTTACACGACAGTCTATCCACGCATCCCTGGCAAGATTCTTTCTCATATAGACAGAGTAGAATCTTCCCCTTGACTGCTAGACTGGATGCCTCCTCAGTGTACCTACAAACGACCAATACTCCTCCCTCTGGTTTCAGGGCCGCCTACTCGCTCTGCCTATACCCCAGGATCGTTCTTCCGTCGGTCCCGGGGTGACTTCTTCCTCCTCCTATCATCCAAGCCCTCACTGGCGTGACTTAGCTTGGCCTCGTAGTCCAAGCCTTACCTATTTAGAAGAAGAAGAATCATCTATAGCCTGGTTGGACAGCTTCCTACTTCAGTAGGTAAGCATCTGATGTGAGTAATGAAGTGAACAGGGTTATCGCACAGCGACCCCGGGAGCACAACTAGTTTCCCCTCAATGTCGGTGAACATATGAGTAACCAGTCGTGCCTTACGGTGTTCTTGCCACATCTCTTCCCCTGACAACAAAGTTGATCAAGACACTTGGCTCTAGCCCAAAAGTCAAGATCACGGTTGTGTTCATCGCCCTGTGCCTACCCATCCAACTACCTTGCTACAGCAACGTTTTCTCCCTTCTCGAGACATGTGTTTTGTGGCTGTGAACCAACTACTTGTGCCTGCTTCACCGGTGACTGAACCGGTGGAACAGGTTACCTAACTTGTTGCACAAGCCGCTGGCCCAGCTGCCGCATTGTAGTTGCAATAGTTAATATGGGGACAAATGAAGCAGTTCCTAGAGTCTGCCACTACTACCTATTGATGAACCGCCTGCTGGAAATATGTCGTACTAAGGTACAAAGAGACCTCTCATAGGCAGCAGGGACATGAACTCATCGGCCACCGCTGGAGGAACTACAACGGGTTGTGCAGGCCTCGCTTTGCAGTCGTAATCTAGTTTTGACCGACTGTCAATGTGGCCAGCATTCCCTACTAAACGGCATGTACTTCGGTCACAATGACTGCACCGAAGTCCCCGTATATTACGTGCTTCCACATTCACAGCTTCTACCCTGTTTAGTCCCGCTTCCCTCGCCTCTAGTCTAGGCTTTCTTCTTTTTCTAGCTCTATCTCGTCTATCCTTTACCTCCTGTATCTGACGTTGTAACTCTGTGTGAAGGGCATCTGTTTCTCTAATCTCAATGTCCTCCACCGACAAGGGTTGTTGCTGGTGGTCCTACACGCCAACAGACGGACTAGTGAAAGGCCTTGATATACCCTGACTAACACCTAGCGAAGAGGCCTAGGAAGAGACCTATGACATTTCAGAAACGGTAGCCTTTGCTGCCTCGACCTTGGCTCTAACGTGCGCTGCTGCTACAGCTGCTAGTGCCATCACTGCATTGGCTGTTGCCACCTGTACCTTCTGTGAGACCCTACTCTCCTCAGCTGCTCTCCGTTGTCTCCTTTCCTCGCCTGGTCTTTAACACCAAGCAACTTGAAAGCAAGTGGTCGACCGACAAAGCACCTGTCCACGGACAATCCTCCCCTCATCCTAGTCTGTGTCTCAACCTCACTGTCATCTTCACCCCAGAGCTACAAGTGGCATGCAATCTGAACTAGTGTCCTCGCTGGGACCTACCGCAGCGTGGCACCCAACCACTTAATAAATAAAATTAAATATACGGTCCAGATTTATCAGGAAGCAGTCAAGTGATAACAACAGATAGTTTCAGACCCCTGCAAACAATTCTACTCCTACGTTTGACTAGTCCGAAACAGATGCTTGCAGCAAGGATAAACAACTACTCTATCTGCAACAGTCTGCTAGCTGTTAGCCGTCCGTCACAGCTAAAAAATCAAAAATAAAAATAAAATCGCCTGCTGAAATGCATGCTGAATGGAAATATTACAATATTGAACAATCGAGCAACTGGAATCTTCCCTCCCCCTACATCCCTCTTGAGTAGTCACTTTGTGTCGACGTCCTGTAGCTCTGGTTCAACGGCGTGTCTAAAGGTGTGTGATCGGCCCACCCCTGTGCCCCAAGTTAGTACAAGACTGGCCAGCCCCGTCCATACTATTTTTATACTCGCGTACAACACGAATCGTATATCCCCGCGGAGTCTCTTTATAGACGGTCCAGTACTTGTCTCTCCCTCACAGGGGTGTCCTGCCCGACATGACCTCTAAAGCGCAGCAAGCAGACCAAAGGACAAGCGGCAAAGCATGTGTGTACTAGTCCCAGCGGGTTGGCATGGACCGTGACCCGAGTGCTTCGTCCAGGGCCCTTCAGAAGCAACGCCTGTCTCCCACCAGCTTGCTCCCCTGGAAGAGTGTCGACTCTCACCGTTGAGCACTTGCGACACCTCACAATGAGAGGACTCTCAAGAGAAGACTCACTTCCTCAGGATAAGAAGCAACGAAGAGGGTAGATAAGGTAAGGAGCAATGTACCTCATAATGCTACCCCCAACCACAGATTTCTCACCAGTAACCTGACACTTCCCAGTAGGCAGGGTAGGCCTAGGGGGACGACGGTTCAGGCCAGGACCAAATAGGCCTGAGGTAGGGTACGATAGGCCCAAACGGCCAGAGGCCGGTACCGGTCCAGCCCAGGACCAACCGGCGGCATTTCAGAGGCTGCCACATTTGGCGCCAAACCCAGTTTGAATCTGGACCGTCGATTCAGATCCAGGCCGGTAGGTACCAATAGGCAAAGAGGCCGGCCCAGCACTACAAAAGGCTGGGTACCAGCCTCAGCAACAAGTTAGTATGTACGAGTTAGTCTAAGCGTTAAGCAGATTAGCGCAGCGCTGCAGCAGCGAGAGCGGCCAGGAGACAGCGGCGCAGCGGCAAGAGGAACAGCGCAGCGGCCCAGCCGCGCCATAGCTACCAGCAGGTACCGGGAGGAAGGCTCTGCCTTCTCTCTCTCTCTCTCTCTCTCTCTCTCTCTCTCTCTCTCTCTCTCTCTCTCTCTCTCTCTCTCTCTCTCTCTCTCTCTCTCTCCCCCTACCTTCTCAGTCTAAGTCTACTCCCCCTACAGGACTACTACTACAGTAATGGAGATGGTTACGATTTCTGATGACATTGGAGACAGCGACATTGAGAGTACGAGTTGAGGACTATTTCGGGATCTGATTCCATCTCTCCTTCGGAGATGTACTTGACATTGTGAGATCGACATCTGGGAGATTGTGAGACTTGGTATTCACGACATTTCGGATTTTCGTCACTTCTGACAGTTCAAGTTACTATCTTTGGAAACATTGAGTTGACATCATCTCCCCTCTCCTCCTCCTTCGTCTCTCTCCTCTCCCCCCTTCGTCCGTGTATGATTCCAGTCCCTGGCCCTTCGTCTCTTCTCAAGGCCAGGGCAGTCACACCCGATGAATGTATGAGAGTTGTTCGATTGCAGTCCGAGTCAGGTCTGAGTCAATCCAAAGGTATCATGCCCTTCCGCTGTATTTGTATCAACTCTGTATTATCTGGTCGGTTTTGGGAATCTGCGCCATACTTATGACTGTGTTTCACAGTATGCAACAATTTGGTATCGGAGCAGACCAGTATTGGATGACTCACCATTAATTGATTGATTGATTGATTAATTGATTGATTGATTGATTGATTGATTGATTGATTATCTTTCCTGCACTCTGTTATCATTAAAATCGCAAGTTGCAATTTTTTTTTCTTTCGTGTATTTTCGTAGGATTAGGAGGTTAAAATTTCGGTTTTGCGACTTTTTCTCAATCTTGCGCAATTAGGAATTACCAATTACGGGTAAACCTACTTAGCGCTAATTAGGGTTAGTCCTAATCGAAAATTTAGGTTTTGCGACTTTTTTCGAATTACGCAGTTAGGAATTCCGAATTACGGGTAAAACCTAATTAGCGCTAATTAGGGTTAGTCCTAACCTAATCTAAACGACCTACCTAACCTATCGAGAGTAAATGCCAGCCAGGCACCGCGCCAAGCAAGGCTGATCGGGCCTGAGCTAGGCCATATGCGAACTGCAACTTCACGGAACTTTCACTTTTTGCAAACTGCATCATTTTTGCGATCGAAAGATTGAATCTTTCCAGCGAATTGTGTATCTTCCTGCTAACTATCATCTCTCCTATATGAGGGACCTCGTGATGATGCTAAAAAACTTTCGACGAAATTTCGTGAAATTTTCAAAGTTATGTCTAAATGTTTAAACTTGCTTAAACTTATTGATTTCTTTTATTGATGCAAATCTAAAATATTTCGATTACATATTTAACCTTTGTGAAATAAACGGTTGCAAAGTTAAATATTTCGTTAATCAGGTATTAAATCTTTTTGCCAAAATTAAATTTGATTAATTTCTATTTTTCGATTAAAATTTTAATTCCCAAAATTTGAAACTTCGTTCAGGGGGGAATTTTTTTTTTCCTTTGATTAGCACCAGACTTCGAGGTCAGGGAACACAGGGACTGTCTGTGCATTGTGTGCCTCTCTGCCCCTCCTCCCCACCCAACCTTCTCTTCTCCTCTCGGTCCTACAAACTGCAGTCTTCGGACACGTCAGCAGAGGTGCCACATCAGCAGAGTGACAGGTCAGCACAGTGACACATCAGCAGAGGGACACGCAAGTGCCACGTCAGCAGAGTGCCACGTCAGTACAGTGCCACGTCAGCAGAGTGCCAYGTCAAYAGCAACGTGCAGCCGGACACTAAATGYGCCGCAGCCTACGATTGGCAGAACGCGAGTCCAAGGCAGCCAAGCCCCAACCGGGACCCAAGGCATCGCGAATCCCGCGCAAGCGACGCACGACCATGGCTTCCACCTCTGACAAGAGTGCACCAACCAGCCCCAAGAGGCCGGTTCCACCTCCTCTCCCAGTTCAGCAGGCCGATGAACCGCTTCTAGCGTTCCTCGACCGTCTCCAGAAGTATTCCGAGACGACGACCGCTGAACTACGCAAGTGGGAAGAAGAGGAAGCCGCCCGCCAACAGGAGATTCAACGCCAGCTGGCAGAGGCAGAGGCAGCACGTCAGCAGGCCGCAGCAGAAGCTGCAGCAGCCGCACGGTTGCAACAGCAGCAGGTCGAGGCAGTTCATAATCAGGCTCGTTACCAAGCCACTATGGATCTGACTCGCGATGAAACCGAGGAACAGCAAGAGCCAACCACGGAGGAAGCAGATAAAGAAGGAATAGCAGTTCTGATGGAGAATCTGCTGTACACATGCAATTGGCAGCAACGCGAACTGCTCGCCACGCGGCAGGTCGTCATCCGCCATCAAACAACACTCAAGGCAATGGATAACAGGATCACGTCGCTGCAGGCCGAGAACAGGACACTACATGCCGCCAACAGCCAGCAGCAGACACTCAACCACCAGCTGCAGGCAGATGTCAGCAACGGGTTGGCACAGCTGTCMGCMGCTGCGTCAACGGGCARTGCAGCAGTCGACTGCAGCCCAGCTTTGACCGCACAGGCAAAGCAATTGGAAGAGCGGGTCAATCATTTAGTCGCATCCCTGGGCGACATCAGCAAGTTTGCAGGAGCCTCTATAGTCAGCAATCAGCTGCAGACGCTCAGCGACCGCGTTGACCAACGTCCGGTCGCCGTCGCCAAGGAATGGAAGATGCCAAACTTCAAAATCGAGAAGTTTGACGACTATCACAAGACCGATCCGCTGCAATGGTGGACGACATTCAACGCAGAGGCCGACGTGCATCATACTCCGCCCCTACGGCGGCTGGATGCATTGTACCTCCAACTTATAGGCGGAGCGCAAGCATTCATGACACACATGGCCGCGACACTTGAGTGTACCATCGCCACCCTCCACACGAAGATCACGTGGGAGGAGTTTGAGAAGAAATGGAAGACCCGGTTCATGGTGAACAATGACAAGCGTCACGCCTTGAACAAGATCTTCCACATCTTCCAAGGCCAGCAACCTTCGCGGGAATGGTTGACGGAGTGGCAAAGACTCGTCGCCACCCCGGAGTTGAACCTACCGTTCGACTCGATCCGAGGTGAATTCTTCGCCCGATCCTGCGACGCCTTGACTGCTGCTCTCGGCAGCGAATACGAGTATAAGAACTTCGACGACATGATCGCCAAAGCCAGAGAGCTTATACAAGGTAACCGGCGTGCGGCTAACGAGACTCGTCAGCAGCCCGGTTACGTGGAGAAAGGAAAAGGTCAACGGGCGCCGCAAGTAGCAGCAGTCCAGCAAGGACAAAGTGAGGACCACGCAGCCGCTTTGACATCAAGTGACGGAGATGTGGCGGCAGCAATACCACCACAACGCTCAAGACCCCGAGGGGGAAAACAGAAGGCGAAACCAGCGTCGGCAGATGGAGCACGACAGGCACCATGGACGAAGTTCGGGATTACCGAGGACATGTTCAAGTTGCGACAGAAACGGGGATGTTGTTTGTGGTGCATAGCACCAAGCACATCACCAGTGCATGCCTCGACAAGGACAAAGAATATGTCAAGCGTCCTGGCTCGGGAAACTGAGCACCGCGGGAAGTGCAGCGACAACACTTCCCAGTCTGCCGGAGTCGGCTGCCTTGCTAGCAGCCTCTCTCACATCCGGGGACACCGTGACAATCGCAAGTTCTCGCGTTGAGTACGGGAACTATGCTGTCGAGTTGGTCCCACCGTTGAACCAGCCTCTCCACGTGCAAGATTCAAGCGTATGAGCAGCAGTTCCGCCGTCGGACAATGAACCGGTGGCTTCGCCAGCCATCTTATCGGAGGATCCGTCAACCTGGGCGAGACTTGAGGATCTCGACCCGTTGACGGTTGAGGACTTCCAATGGTTGCCTCTGCCCTCCACCGCTTCTTTGCCAACTCCGCATTGCAATGCCTTAATGGCACATCTACGCGAATACTTGCACGCTGCAGTACCACCTCCGTCGACGGACGGCGGAGTAGCGGTTGTTGACCTTTGCAACTTTCTTGCGAAGATCGACCGCGAGTACGCAACGCAACGGTACGTCGACACCGACGCACCGCTCCTCTACATCCGCATTCAGATCGGGAAGGCGACCTGCAGTGCCTTGATCGATTGTGGAGCGACTTGCAACTACATCAACCAAGACTTCATGGCACGCGCTGGGCTAGGCCTGCGCGTTCGAAGGAAAAGTCAGCCTACGCACGTCACGTTGGCCGATGGTCACACGCAAAAGTCAATCGACCGATGCGTTGACTCGGTGCCCGTGTACTTCGCCCCGCTAGCAAGCGAGGCCGTGTCCTTCGACATATTGGACACCAAGTTCGATATGATCCTAGGCATGTCGTGGCTGCAAAGCGAAGACCATCCGGTGAACTTTCATCGCCGCACCGTTCACGTTCATGATCGGCATGGCGAACTAGTCCCGTGTATGGTGCCGCTTCCGCATCCTTCGATTGGTTGTCACGTGGTATCCGCGGCAAGCATTCGCCAATCCATCCGGTGAAACGACATCGAGGAGATGGGCATATGTTTTCTTCACGCCCTCCCACCCGGTGATCAGCCCAAGACGGATACGTCGGACCCACGCATCATTGAGCTGTTGGACAGCTATGGGGATGTCTTTCAAGCTCCCGCCGGAGTCATACCGGATCGGCCCATACGTCATGGGATCACTCCCGAGGACGGCGCCGTACCTCCGCGCGGATGTATCTACTGCATGAGCGAAGAGGAACTTCAAGTGCTTCGAGCACAACTAGACGACCTCTTGGTTCTCTTCGTCCGGAAGAAGAACAAGGACCTTCGGTTGTGCATCGACTATCGTAAACTCAACGCACAAACGATCAAGAACGCCGGCCCTCTCCCTCGGATCGATGATCTTCTCGAGCAACTCGGCGGCGCCAAGTACTTCTCCAAGCTAGACCTCAAGTCCGGTTATCACCAGATCGAGATTCAAGACACGGTATGGGCACTGTGAGTGGATCGTCATGCCTTTCGGTCTCACCAATGCCCCGGCTACTTTCCAAGCGGCTATGACGACGGAATTCCGCGACTTGCTCAACCGCTCCGTACTCATTTACCTCGATGACATCTTGGTTTATAGTCGGTCGTTGGACAAGCATCTCAAGCACCTTCGCACCGTATTGGAGCGGCTTCGTATTGCCAAGTACAAGGCAAACCGCGACAAGTGCGAGTTTGCCCAGCAAGAACTGGAGTACTTGGGCCATTACGTCACGCCGCAAGGCATCCGTCCGCTCGCGGACAAGTTACAAGCTATTAAAGATTGGCCGGACCTCAAGTGTACTACCGACGTCCGCTCCTTTCTCGGCTTGGCATCCTACTACATGCGTTTCGTCAAAGGATTTCAACGCATCGCTGCACCATTGTCACGACTACAGTCCCCCTCGGTGCCCTTCGAGTTCGGCGACGAGGCCCGGCATGCGTTTCACACGCTGAAGACGGCTTTGCTTCAAGCTCCCATCTTAAGCATCTATGACCCGACGTTGCCTACCAAAGTGACCACGGACGCTTCCGGTTATGGCATTGGCGCGGTTTTGGAAAAGCATGACGGCACAGACTGGCACCCGGTTGAGCACTTCAGCCAAAAGGTGTCACCCATCAACACTCTTGATGATGCGAGGAAGAAGGAACTCCTAGCTTTTGTCAGCGTACTTAACCGTTGGCGTCACTTTCTCCTCGGGCGTCGGCGTTTCACGTGGGCAACGGACAACAATCCGTTGACATATTACAAGACGCAAGACACGGTGAGCAGCACGATCGGTCGATGGATGTACTTCATTGACCAGTTCGACTTCACCTCCAAGCACATTCCGGGCTCCTCGAACAAGGCAGCGGATGCTCTCTCGCGAAGACCTGATCTTTGCGCCTTGGTGCACTCCACATTCGGCCTCGACGAGNTCCTCGAACAAGGCAGCGGATGCTCTCTCGCGAAGACCTGATCTTTGCGCCTTGGTGCACTCCACATTCGGCCTCGACGAGAACCTGCAACAACATTTCGTAAACGGCTACAAGTCGGATCCGGGATTCTCCACACTCTATGCGGACTTATCATCGGACCAACCGCCGGCAAGCAACTATCGCATTGTCGACGGCTACTTGCTTCTCCATACACGAGGCAAGGACTTGTTGTGTGTTCCCCAAGACCGCATCCTGCGCACTCGCCTCCTGGGCGAATACCATGATTCGCGGCTGGCGGGACACCTTGGCGTCGCACGCACATTGGCACGACTCCGCCAGCGATTTCACTGGCCGGACATCATCAGCGACGTCAACCAGTATATTCAGTCATGTGCAGTTTGCCACCGGAACAAAGGGCGCCATCAGCTCCCTTACCGCGAACTGAAACCATTGCCGATTCCTCGGGCACCGGGTCTCTCCATTGCTATGGACGTGACTGGTCCTTTCCCCCGCGATCGCCTTGGTCATGATGGTATCCTCACGGTCGTCAACCGTTTGAGCAAATACGCTCGATTTCTTCCATGTAAGTATCATGCGACGGCTTCCGAGCTTGCACTACTTCTGCATACCGGTTGGTTTTGCAGCCACGGCGTTCCGGAAGACATCGTTAGCGACCGCGACACTCGTTTCATGTCGGCCTTTTGGACGACACTCATGGTGGAATCCGGCACCAACATGAAACCGAGTTCCGCACGGCATCCTCAAACGGATGGGCAAACGGAACGTGCGCACCAGACGGTGCAAATGATGCTCCGCACACTCATCCGCCCGGATCAAAAGGACTGGATTGACCGCCTTCCCGACATCGAGTTCGCCTACAACACTTCGTTGCACTCGGCGATTGGCGTGACTCCATTCGAGTTGCACCATGGTGGACGGAAAGGACGTATCTTCGCAGACATTTTGCTTCCACGGGCTGCCGATATAGACGCCGCTTGCTCCCCCGCTTCTACACGGAAGTACAAGGAACTGCTGGCCAAAGCCCGCGCAAACATGCAAAAGGCCCAGGTCTGTATTCAGCAGCAACTGAATCGGCGTCGCATCCCATGTCCAATTCGCGCAGGCGACCTGGTTAGGGTCACCTCCGAGGAATTCGCGCTTGAGCTGGACGTCTCGCGCAAGCTCCTCCCGAAGTGGTTTGGACCATGGATGGTCACTTCAGCGGCTGGCGACGACCCCGCGGGTCCATCATTCATCGTTGAGATTCCCCCGCATTTGACGGTCCACCCGATCTTTCATGCTTCAAAACTGGCAGTTTACACTCCAGCCTCCGCAGCGGATTTCCCAGGTAGACGGTCACAAGACCCTCCTTCAATGGATGGTCATCAGCAGGTCGATCGCGTTCTCACGCATCGCAAGCATGGCAACAAGCCCATGCAGTACAAAGTTACATTCAAGCAATGCGATCCGAACGACACACGCTGGATTTCAAGAGCTGACCTGAAGGAGACAGCACCCCTCATCTTCGCACACTACGAAAAACAGCGACTTGCTAAGGAAGCTGCTCAACCTGCCCGCCCTGTACAGACATCGGACAGACAGCTTCGCCCTCGCAGTGAGCTCGGTCTTTCAAGGGGGGGAGTGTGTGGCATACTAAGCCACACGGGCCCCAGTTAGGGCCCGGTTCCCAGTAGGCAGGGTAGGCCTAGGGGGACGACAGTTCAGGCCAGGACCAAATAGGCCTGAGGTAGGGTACGATAGGCCCAAACGGCCAGAGGCCGGTACCGGTCCAGCCCAGGACCAACCGGCGGCATTTCAGAGGCTGCCACATTTGGCGCCAAACCCAGTTTGAATCTGGACCGTCGATTCAGATCCAGGCCGGTAGGTACCAATAGGCAAAGAGGCCGGCCCAGCACTACAAAAGGCTGGGTACCAGCCTCAGCAACAAGTTAGTATGTACGAGTTAGTCTAAGCGTTAAGCAGATTAGCGCAGCGCTGCAGCAGCGAGAGCGGCCAGGAGACAGCGGCGCAGCGGCAAGAGGAACAGCGCAGCGGCCCAGCCGCGCCATAGCTACCAGCAGGTACCGGGAGGAAGGCTCTGCCTTCTCTCTCTCTCTCTCTCTCTCTCTCTCTCTCTCTCTCTCTCTCTCTCTCTCTCTCTCTCTCTCTCTCTCTCTCTCTCTCTCTCCCCCTACCTTCTCAGTCTAAGTCTACTCCCCCTACAGGACTACTACTACAGTAATGGAGATGGTTACGATTTCTGATGACATTGGAGACAGCGACATTGAGAGTACGAGTTGAGGACTATTTCGGGATCTGATTCCATCTCTCCTTCGGAGATGTACTTGACATTGTGAGATCGACATCTGGGAGATTGTGAGACTTGGTATTCACGACATTTCGGATTTTCGTCACTTCTGACAGTTCAAGTTATTATCTTTGGAAACATTGAGTTGACATCATCTCCCCTCTCCTCCTCCTCCGTCTCTCTCCTCTCCCCCCTTCGTCCGTGTATGATTCCAGTCCCTGGCCCTTCGTCTCTTCTCAAGGCCAGGGCAGTCACACCCGATGAATGTATGAGAGTTGTTCGATTGCAGTCCGAGTCAGGTCTGAGTCAATCCAAAGGTATCATGCCCTTCCGCTGTATTTGTATCAACTCTGTATTATCTGGTCGGTTCTGGGAATCTGCGCCATACTTATGACTGTGTTTCACAAGTATGCAACATTTACGATGAGCGATCGATGCCTCGGCACAACCCACAATACAATGCAGTTCCACATCGGCTTAAATGCCACATCAGCAAGCTCTCATCATCCAGCGTGCACCCCCTATGTCACCACATAGCCTTCCAGGCACGCCCTCTTGACTCAGGGCCGCCTATACACCAACGCACAAGCGTTATCACTGCCCCACCATTATCCAGCGAAGCACCAAACAGCTATAGCGAAGGAGCCAGCAGAGCAGCTTGAACCGGCTCCGATACCAAATTGCAAGGAAAATGAACGATAGCGAGATAGCAGAAATCCAAGTGCAAAATCACATTGAAAGCCAGCAAGTCCAACGCTGTCTAGAAAGCAGAAATGCACTGATATTCCACCAATGGAGAACCAAAGCACTGAATCCAAATGTCAATGAGAGCATAGTCTCGCCACCACCAACATATGTATCCAGAGTCCTTCCTCCTACTTAGCGCTCAGCACCCAGACTACAATCACACAGCTACTAGCAGCCTACAAATTGACAATACCACCTGTTGACATCAGCAGCAAGAACCGAAGTACATGAAGATGTTGACCTTGTAGACCATCGCCAAGACCAGGTGCGTGCCCTCACATCATTAACCTCATCTCTCTCTCTCTCTCTCTCTCTCTCTCTCTCTCTCTCTCTCTCTCTCTCTCTCTCTCTCTCTCTCTCTCTCACCATTGACTTGTCTACCCACGTCTTCCTTCCCATACACGAAGACCACCACCACCTCCACTCGCTATCCAAACCAAGCCCTGGCTATGAAGGGCTGGCTATGGCGCTGCCCTCAGCAGCGCCCTGTCTTCTTCCTCGACGCCGGCGCGCGCCCGGCATCAGCTAGCGCACAGCAAGCAGCCCACGAGCGCAGGCTTCAGCAGCGCTGCCGCTTGCACAAGCCAGTGTCCGAATGTCCCCACCAGTGGTGAGCTCTTTCCTTTATGGAAAGTGCTCACCCAGTTTGCTGTCGGCCTGGGCCACATGTGTTTCCAGTAGCTTCCGTTTGGGCCAAAGTGTCAGTGCCCAGGCGCATTCAGACAGTAGCCTGGGACTGAATTGGTTAGGCCTGATCAACCACCCAGGAGTAAACGTGAGGTTCTCCCTGCTTCACCTGTGCTGCTGGAAGAGCCTAGAAGGCTCACAAATTATTTCTGATTCTCACGACTATGGAGGATGTAACCAACTGGTGCGTGGCAACTGTCTGGCCCCCACCAAACTTGGCCAAAATTGATGAACTCAGGCCATATTGAAATTCAGGGGCCCGCCTTCACTTAGGGCGGGCTCATGCTTGCTGAAAGGTCCCCACAGGGGGATGCTGAGGAGCTAACTCGTAACAAGGCCTCGTCGAAGATCCATGCCCACATAGGGGTTCCAACAGGCTCTGCTTGGGCCCCTCAGCCGGATCTCATAGGCCTATAAACAGGCATTGGCACATATTTGCAGGCCCGCCTTCACTTAGGGTGGCCACGGCCTTTCAGACACTGCCGAGGGACTAAATCCTCGCATTTAGGTTTGTAGTGGAAATTAACTGCAGTTCCTTTTTTTCATACCCGGGCACCTGATGATGTATGACGGTTCTCCTACTTTTGTGCCACAACTTTCTTTTCTATAACACCTAAGGTTGCTGTTCTTCCAAATATGTTACGTGCGTTTGTTTTAACTTTTTAGTTTCTAATACTTTCTTATAACTTTTTAATTCTTTTTATGATCCAGGATGGCAAACAAATTGCAACAATTTTTTTATTTTTTTTTTGCAGTGTTGGTTCCATGTGCGTTATCCCCTTCAAGCACTCTCTGCTGACTTGACTGGGCACGCAAATCTGCTGCGATCTTGCCCATCTGTTTTCATTGTTCATCCTGCTTCTGCAGCACGAGCTCCGATTCAGGTTTTATCTCCTCAATGTGAAGATCCTGATCTGACTCAAACCACCAGTACAAGGCCCATACATCGGCCGCAGGCCCCTCACTGCGACTTTCAAAGGCCAGAAAAGTGACAAAGGCCATTGACGAAGTTTATCAACGGCGGCCCGGCCCCGAGAGTTGCACTGGTGGGGACGTTCATTTTCTGCAAGGCTGGGGCCGTGTACTGGTGGTTTAAGGATCTCTGGCAGGACAGCAAAACGGTTCTCAGACATTGGGAGTGGGAGGTATGTCCAATCCTTTGCTCCATACATGCAGAGGAACTTGTTAGCAGCACATGATCCCGAAAGAGTGATGTTGTCTGAAGGTGGTGGTCCTCTATAGAGTCGGTCTTTTGTTGTCGTTCCTTTGTTTGTAGTACTTTGTACCTAGGCTACCAGAGTGGCCCGGGTCCACTTGCCCGGCCGGGCCAAAAAGAAATAAAAAAATAAAAAAATAAAAATTAAATTTTTAATTAATTTTTTATTTTAAATTCGGTAAAGAATTTCGATGTGACCCTGAGGCAAAAGTTGTTCAGTTTATTTTTCTGCATAACATAGTTTTTTTTTCGGATTTTTTCTTTTTTTTTTCTTTTGGCTGGGACCTTCCCTAGTCCTTGCACGGCCGGGCCGGCCGGGAAAATAGGGTGACCCGGGCGGCCCGGCTGGTAGCCTAGCTTTGTGCCCATTCGTGACTAACATTTTTAGAGATGATTTTTCCCTTTTTCTTCCTCTAAGTGAGTCACTTACGCGTAGTTCTCGGAGCCTGTTTGACGACCACTGGTTCTGGTCATGGGCCTAGTTGCACCACTTGCCATCCGCCAACATTTTGAATGCATCTGGACAAGCATTTGTCCAAATGCATTCAAAATCTTGGTGAATGGCGAGTGGTCCAGCTAGGCCCTATGTCTCCAACATCCAACAGTGTTTACCAGTTCTGCAGTTCCTGAGCATTCTTGACACTCTCCGGCGAAGCTGTGGGGCTTCCCTGACCTTCCAGGTCCACTCCCCTTCATGCTTGTTTGGGAGGATAAGGAAGATCCATCTTCTGTGTAGGCCAGGCCGCCAGGGTCCTCTGCCAGCCAGGACCCTGAAACTGGTGGGTGGCGAGTGACTACCTTCTTCACCCGAATAGAACTGCGGGTAACTATCGCCGTATCTGGATGACTGAAAGTTGCACCAAATACAGTTATAATGACCGGGCGTTCTATTCGGGTGAAAGATGGTAGCCTCTTAACGCCTCTGAGTGTGTGTGCGTGCAGGGCATCTCTCATCTGAGCATAGGTGGCCCATGATTTACCACCAGGGGTCTTGAGGGTACTGACAAAGTCTGGCCTCCATAAGTGTACTGCCATTCGTCTGTCATAGGGGAGGGCTCATTGGCGTTCCAAATTTCCGATCAATGGCGACGAGGAGGGAGGTGACATTTGAAACTTGAAAGTCGACAAGGTGAACAACTGAGAGGGAGGTGGCATTCAAAACATGACTTGAAAGTTGAAATTATTATCACCGCGCGTCAATCGGGGGGAAAAAAATGTTACCGGCAGAATGTGACGGAGGGTTTTACCGTGTACAAGCTCTTGTCGTCATGAAACTTGACAGCATCTGCTTGCTACAGGGAAGAGACGACAAGCAGACCAAAAAACGCCCAGTGCACCATATCGTTAGTAGGGCGAGTCAGGCCTATCATCCAATAGATAAAAACTTAAAAAGAAGTTTTATCCGTGTGATGGTCACATGCCATAATATCAACCAACATGACCACCACAAGAGCAGTAAATGATAAAATGTGTTTTCTCAAACTCCCGAATCATCATCATCGTCATGACCACCACCAGCAACAATAGCAATGTTAACCATCCTGAACAACTACTCTGCCCTTGCGACTTCTCCGGCCGCAAAGCGGTAGTGGGGAACATCTGCACTTCTCTTCTTCTTCTACTCCTTTGTCATTGCAGCACTGTGAGCAATTACACCTTACTGGGCCCTCTGGTCCGGTAGGCACTCAAAAAATATGCCAGTACCATGATGGTTGGTAATGGCACCACAAGAAATAGCAGCACAAGTCCCCCATATCTGTGATCCTCAAAAACATGGCTGCACAGCAAGTTTATGGAGCACTACCATTTTAGGGGGCTCATTGGCCTGACTTGTCTGCTGCCATTTATCTAGGTGCCAGTGTGCCACATCATATTGCAAAAGGTCATCGTGCTCTGTTCTTGCGTATTAACTTACTATTAAGGCATAATAGGCAACCACCCTTTGTGACCATCCCCATCAGCAGGCCTTAAACCGCCAGTACCTTTCCCCTCTTGAAAATCTGAGGCGCGACGATTACCACGGAGGCCCTATTGGGCCTCCGGCACCGGCCAGGTACAACGGCTGCCCTTGGCGCGCCGTGCCCGCAGCCGATGTATGAGAAAGGCACTGGCGGCTTAAGATTGAGATGGCAGTTTAATGTGAACATCACAAATAAAGCACAACAGTCAGGAATCAGGATCATGCCTAAATCTCCACCCCGTGTTGATAAAGAGAAAGAGAAAGAGGAGGAAAAAAAAAAAGAAAAGACAAAAGGATCATACCTAAATCAATCATTTGGACTGTGGTGTGATGGATGCAAGTTAGCAATTTCATATTTTGGGCCTTGTGACCTTGTCCTATCGCTTGCCGAATGTGAAAGTGGCAAGTACCTTGCCCCCTTTTGTGGAAAGGTACATTCGCCAGTTTGCCTATTTGGCGAGAGGTGGATTGAGGCCCAAAGTACTGACAACAAGAAGCACCAAGGTGACATTAGCAAAATGGATAAGCACAACCAACACCACCAACGACAGCAACAGCAGCAGCTGCAACAGCAACCGACAAACAGTGAATAGGTACAAGACCTGTGACAAACAACAAATGTCAAAATGCAAAATGAAGACAACAATGAAATCAGCAACACAATGACAGCAATGAAAACAACAATAAACTTGAATAAAGACAACAAGATCAAAAGGAGCACCAGCAGCAACAGCAACAATGACAGCAGCGACGACAACAACAACAGTGGCAGCAGCAAAAACAGCAACTACAGCAACAGCAACAGCAACAGCAGCAGCAGCAGCAGCAATGGCAGCAAAGGGCAAAGGCAATATCAACAGCAGCAACACAAGAACAATATCAACAACAACAACAGCACCGACAACATCAACAGCAACAGCAACAACAACAACAACAGTACCTGCAGCAGAAAACAGAAATAACAACAGCAGCAGCAGCAGCAGCAGCAGCAGCAAGCAAAAGAGAAATAAATGAAGTGATAAAAACTATTAAAAAGTCAGACTAAAAACAACAGAAAACAACAGCAGCGGCAGCAACAACAGCAACTGAAAGAGAGAAATAAACGTGGTGGCCGCAGGAGATGATACGATGCAGCAGCAGCAGAAATAGCCATAGCAACAAGAGCAACAAGAGCACCGAGAGCACCAAGAGCACCAATAGCAACAAGAGCAACAAGAGCAACAAGGGCAACAAGGGCAACAAGAGCAACAAGAGCAGCAAAACCAACAGCAACAGCGACAAGACCAACAGCCACAGTAAGAACAGAAAAAAGCAATGGCAACAACAACAGTGAGAGCAAGAGCAACGGGAACAGCAACAACAACAACATCAAGAGCAACAACAACAACAGAAAAAGCAAGAGCAACAAGCAGCAACAGCAATAGCAGTGACAGCAACAGCAATAACAACCACAAGACCAGGAACAGCAACAGCAGCAACAGGAACAGCAACAATAGCAGCAGCAAGAGCAACAGCAATAACAGCATCAACACAAGCAATAGAAGGTGCAACAGTCAGGAGCAACAACAGTGCCAACAGAAACAACGACAGCAACAACAGCAGCTGCAGCAATAACAGCAACAACATCAGCAACAGCAACAACAGCAGCAGCAACAAGGACAACAGCAACAACAACAGCCGCAGCAACAACAGCAACAACTGCGACATCAATAACAAGAAGAGTACTGCAAGAACAACAACAACAGCAAACACTAGCAGCAGCAGCAGCCGCAACAGCAGCGGATTCAGCAGCAGCAGCCGCAACAACAGCGGATTCAGCAGCAGCAGCAACAACAACAGACATCCCCCGATTGAAAGGCTAGCAAACCATTTCTCCCGCCCTCCAAACCGTCTTTCCTT